GTGCTGGACTCAGTCTGGTGGAGGCTGTGGTAGTTGTGGTTTGTTAGTCCTTTGGACTAATCTTTCCTTTGTGTCTTTGGTTTTCTTCATTCTTGCTTGCACCAGATGGGCTGGGACCTGTAGAGTATCTTAGACGGCATTCATAAGCTTTTAAGAGCCCAGATGCTACTCACCAAAGTAGGATGTAGAACATTTTCTTTATAAACTATGTTATGCCAATTGATCTAGATGTCCCCTGAGACCATGGTCCCCAGCCCTGAGCTCAATAATTTGGTCCCTCAGGGAGTTTGGGTGTTCTGTGAAGCTTCTATGACTTTGCCTTGGTCAATTTGTGCTGGCTTCCCCAGTATTGTGTACTGTCTTACCCTTCACCAAAGTTACCACTATCTATTGTCTAGTTAGTTTTTTTTCCCTCCCCACCCATCCGCTCCCTCGTAACCATCAAAGATTGTTTCTTTCTGTGTGTAAACCTTTTCATCAGCTTTTATAATAGTGATCTCCTACAGTATTTGTCCTTTTGTGATTGACTCATTTCACTCAGCATAATGCCCTCCAGATTCATCCATTTTGTGAGATATTTCACAGATTAATCATTGTTCTTTATCATAGTATTCCATGGTGTGTATATATCATAGTTTGTTTATCCGTTCATCTGTTGGTGGACACTTAGGTTGTTTCCATCTTTTTGCTATTGGGAATAATGCAGCAATGAATATGGGTGTGAGTATGTCTATTTGTGTGACAGCTCTTATTTCTCTAAGTTATATTCCTAGGAGTGGGATTGTTGGATTGTATGGTATTTCTGTTTCTAGCTTTCTAAGGAAGCACCGTATCATTTTCCAAAATGGTCGTGCCATTTTTTAAATTCCCACCAGCAGTGCATAAGAGTTCCAATCTCCCCACAGCCTCTCCAACATTTGTTATTTTCTTTTTTTTTTTCATCCGTGCCAGTAATGTTGGGGTGAGATAATGTCTCATTGTAGTTTTGATTTGCATTTCTCTAATGGCTAATGATCGTGAGCATTTTCTCATGTGTCTGTTAGCTGCCTGAATATCCTCTTTGGTGAATTGTCTGTTCATATCCTTTGCCTATTTTTTAATTGGATTATTTGTGTTTTTGTTGTGGAGGTGTTTGATTTTCATAGATTTTAGAGATTAGACTGTTGTAGGATATGTCATAGCAAAATTTTTTTCCCAGTCTGTAGGTTCTCTATTTGCTCTTTTGGTGAAGTCTTTTGATGAGCATGTGTTTAATTTTTAGAAGATCCCAGTTATCTAGCTTATTTCTGGTGTTTGTGTATTGTTAGTTATGGTTTGTATCCTATTTATTCCATGTACTAGGGCCTCTAGCGTTGACCCTGTTTTTTCTTCCATGATCTTTATAGTTTTTGGTTTTACATTTAGGTCTTTGATCCATTTGAATTAGTTTTTGTGTATGGTGTGAGATATGGGTCCTGTTATATAAATAAATAGACCTTTGTGCCCTGACTTTGCTGTGTCCCAAAGGTTTTGATATGATGTATTTTCATTCTCGTTTGATTCTAGGAATTTTTTGATTCCATCTTTGATTTCTTCTGTTACCCAGTGGTTTTTAAGTAAGATGTTAAGCAAGTTTCCATGTATTTGATTTTTGTTTTTGCTCTTCCTGTTATTAATTTCTTCTTTTATGCTGTTGTGATCAGAGAAGATGCTTTGAATTATCTCAATATTTGGATTTTGTTGAGGGTTACTTGGTGGCCTAAGATGTGATCTGTTCTGGAGAACGTTCCATGTGCATTGGAGAAGAATGTATACTTTACTACTGTTGGGTGAAGTGTTCTGTATGTGTCTATGAGGTCAAGTTGGTTGATTCTGGCCTTTAAATCTTCTGTATCTTTGTTGAGCTTCTTTCTAGATGTTCTGTCCTTCACTGAGAGTGGTGTGTTGAAGTTTCCTACTATTATTGCTGAACTGTCAGTTTCTCTTTTCAGTGCTGTTAGAGTTTGTTTTATGTATTTTGGAGCCCTGTCATTGGGTGCGTAGATGTTTTTTATGGTTATGTCTTCATGGTGGATTGTCCCTTTAATCATTATATAATCTTCTTCCTTGTCTTTTATGGTGGATTTTATCTTAAAGTCTGTTTTTTTTTTTGTGATTAGTGTTGCCACTCCTGCTCTTTTTTGGGTTTTGTTTGCTTGATATATTTTTTCCATCCTTTGATTTTTAATAAATTTATGTCTTTGTTTCTAAGGTGTGGCTCTTGTAGACAGCATATTGATGGATCCTGTTTTTTTTTAATCCATTCTGTCACTCTCTGTCTCTTTATGGGTGCATTTAAGCCATTTATGTTTAATGTGATTATTGATAGGTGTTAGTTTATGCTGTCATTTTGTAGTGCTTTTTTTCTTTTTGTGGTGCTGACGTTTTCTTTGTTCCTCTTACTCTCCTGTGCTGGGTTCCTTTTTTTTTTTTTTTTTTTGTGGATTTTCTTTTTTATTTTGTAGATTTTGTAGTGTTTACTGAGACTTTGTTTTTCTTCTTTATTTTGATGAGTAGGTTTATTAACTTTCTTTGTGGTTACCTTGAAATTTACTCGTCTTCCTAAATTTGAACCAGTCGTTTATTACTTGATATCACCTTGACTTCCTCTCCATTTGAAAGTTCTGTACCTATACTGTTTATTAACCTCTTTTATTATTCTCATTTTGTTGTCATTTACAGATTGACTGCTCTGGTTCCCTGTTGTAAATCTTTTAGCTTTGTTTCATCCTTGAGAGTTCATTACCTAGGTTGGTATATGGCAGATGCTATCCTGTCTTCCATTCAGTGCTCGATCGAGTTCTTTATCCCTTCATCTGATGCGTAGAGTTCCAGGATTGATGTTAGTATCTGTTTTACTTAGTTTTCTGGTCTTTACTGCAGAGAGATGGCATGATGCTCCTGTCTGCAGCGCTATGTTGGCTCTACCTTCCATGTTAAAGATTTTTGAGTTATCTGAGTGAAAAAGGAAGCCATTGGAATATTTGAAGCAGAGGAGTCAACTTTAAAAAAATAGGATTTATGGGTCAAGTGAGGAAGAGCAGAGGCCAGTTGAGCAGTCAGTAGTCTGGGTTAGAGGTGTAGGTAGATTAGACATGGTTGTGGCAGTGGAGCTAGAACAAAGGGGTGGATTTGAGCAGTATTTGGGAGGTAGGGCTTACTTGTCTTGGTGATAGATGGAAGAGATGCGGTGAATCGTGGAGAATGTGATGTCAAGGATGACTTCTTGGCTTCTGTGTGAGTAACTGGGGAAGATTGGAGAAGGCAATTTTTTTTTTTTTTTTTGGTGGGTAGAGAAAGTGTTCAGTTTTGAACGTGCCAAGTTTGAGACATCTGTGATGCACTGCAATTTTGATGTTGAGTAACAGTTTTACTTGTTGGCAGCTCATAAGAAAGGCCTGTTGTTATTGTTAGTTTCCATCGATTCTGACTCCTGGCTACCCCTTGTGTTGCAGAGTAGAACTGCAGTAGGCAGTTTTGGAAGCAGATCATTATGCCTGTCTGCTAGGTGGGTTTGAACCACCAATCTTTTGGTTAGTAGTTGAGTGCTTCATCATTTGCACCAACCAAAGACTCCTAAGAGAGGTCTAGTCTGGAGTTAAAAATGTGAGTGTTGCTGGCATGTAGATTGTATCAAAAGCCATGAGTTAAGGAGGGGAGAGTGACAAGAATACTTGGCTTCACTTTTTCTGGGAAGACCTCTTGCATCCCACAGGTGGAAAATATTCTTCCAAAATCTTGGCAAAGAAGAGATGAGGGGACCATAGCCTAGGTGGGGTGGGTGCCAAGTAAAGGAAAGGATTTTAGAATTGCAGAAACTGGCTGAAGGGGAAGGTGCTGAGGAAGGAAAAAGCTGAGCTCTTAACCACCTTGCTTCCAGGGCTCTGAAGATGTTGGATAGGAGGAGTTTATCGATGAATTGGAGTCCTGAGAGAGATGGAAGGGAATTTAAGGTTCTGCTCTTAAATCCTCTGAGACCAAAGTAAAGGGAGTAAAGATGGAGGTTTAAGTAAATTTGAAGAGTTAGAGGCATAGGGAGCAGAGATAATTTACTACCAGACACCTCAACACACACACACACACACACACACACACACACACACACACACACAGATGTGTCCACAGTAATCCATGGAGGTCATCTACGTGCGATGTATACTTTTCAGAACATTTTCTGCTATTTCTTTTTCAATATCTGACATACATGAGGGTCTCAGTAAGTTATTTGTTGAGTGAATATTCCCAGAAAATAGGGCTTTAGATTTAATTTGTGGGGGCATCCATGTTAGAGAACGTGGAAGGAGTAAGATATAAACGATTGAAAGCCACTGGGCTTGACTCCTTGGAGCCCTCCACTCTGGTCTTTCCTTACATTTCACGTAGCATTGATAACTGTGTTTTAGAATCACTAGTTCTTTTGTCTGCCTCTCTTATCAGGTTGTTAATTCTTTGAAGGCAACATCTGTCTTATACAAATCCATGTTTCCAGGATCTAACCCAGGGACGGTACATAATAAGTGCTCAATCAGTATTTGTGGAATGAATGCAAGAGCACCGGTGGCCTTCAGTGGATGCTTGAAGGATAGAGAAGATTCAGAAGGGCGAGGGAATGAGCAATGTGCCAGACGGAGTCAGGGATATAAGCTAAACTATAGGCGTTGAAATAATTGTATGTGTGGGAGGAAATAATGAAGTTGCCTGATTTGGCATTCTCCTCTGTCGAGGGGGATTAGTAATTTGCTCAAAGTCCAACAACTTGGAACTGATGGTTTCTGGATTTGTACTTCAGATTTTCTGACTTAAAGTACAAGGTCTCCCACTGTACCATGCTCCGTCCTCACCATGTTATTTCCCATAGTGATCATACCCCCCTTAACTTGCAGATGCCTTGTTTGTCCCCAGTTAGGCCTGATGAAATGATTTGTCTTGTACACCTGCCTTCTACGATTTTTTTCTGAGTTCCAATTGTTCCTTTTTCCTAGCTCTCCACTGTGGTTTGAGTCCACGGGGTATCGATCACCCTGCCCATGCTGAAAGTTTTAAACTGCAAATTGAAGGTGAAGGTGTTGAATCTCAATCCATTAAAAACAAAAATATCCAGAAGGTGCTGGAGCAAAAAGGAACCCCCAAACGACTGCAGGCAGAAGCAGAGACGGCTAAGGTAAGTAATAGTCCAATTACCTAAGGAGAGGCTAAAGCTGCAGCTTTGATATTTTGTGGTACAGCTACAGGGAAGAGCTGGTAATGCTTTCGCTAATTACCTTGTATCTTAGGTTCAGTGAGCACTGCATCTTGATTTTAAGTAATAATAAATAAAAATATTGACCTCATCCCCTTTGGAGTAAAATTGTAACACATTTGTGGCCATTCTCATAGCATGAGGCTCTGAGCTATGGGCTAAAGAGAAGAACACTTTGGATTTAAAGCCAAAAGATTTGTCTGCTAGTCTCTGATTTATGGCTTTAAATCACATATAACTTTCTGAGCCTCAGATTCTTTATTTGTAGAATGGGTGTCATAAAAACAGCCTCTCCTATCAGGTTGAGCAGATTAAATGACGCTGTGTTTTTAGAAGCATTTTGTAAAAGGCCCAGTGTTGCATGAATATGAGGAACTTTTGCTGACAAATACTGCTAATTAATAATGATTGACATTTTGTGAAATATATACATGTATTCCGGGTACTGTTTGAAATACACTTGATGTACTGGCTTATTGTGTTCCCATAACAATCCTAAGAGAGAGACAATAGTACACAAGACCCCAGTTAATGAAAGATTTAATTGTTGTAGTCTTCTTTTTTTTTTTTTTTTAATTGTGTTTTAGGTGAAAGTTTACAGTGCAAATTAGTTTCTGATTCAGAAATTTATACACAAATAGTGTTGTGACATTCATTACAATCCCTGCAATGTATCAGCATTCTCCCCCTTTCCCTTTACACCCTGGGTTCCCCATGTTCATTCGTCCAGGTTTCCTGTCTTTTCCTGCATTTTCATCTCTGCTTTTGGGCAGGTGTTGCCCATTGGGTCCCGTATACTTGACTGAACCAAGAAGCCCATTCCTCACATGTGTTATTGTTTGTTTTATATGCCTGTCTAATCTTTGGTTGAAAGGTGGACTTCGAGAGTGGCTTCAGTTCTGGGTTAGTAGGGTGTCTTAGGGGTTCCTACAGTCTCTGTCAGGCCAGTATGTCTGGTCTTTTTTTGTGAATTTGAATTTTGTTGTACGTTTTTTTCCAGCTCTGTCTGGAACTCTCTATTATGATCCCTGTCAGAGCAGTTGGTGGTGGTAGCTTGGTGCCGTCTAGTTCTTCTGGGCTTAGGCTGGTGGAGGCTGTGGTTCAGGAGGTCCATTAGTCCTTTGGACTGTTATTTCCTTGCGTCTTTGGTTTTCTTCATTCTTCTTTGCTCCAAATGTGATGGGACCAATAGGTGTATTTTAGATGGCTGCTCACAAGCTTTTAAGACCCTAGATGCTACTCATCAAAGTAGGATGTAGAACATTTTCTGTATGAACTGTTATGCCAGTTGACCTAGATGTCCCCCCTATTCTATTCTTTTGTAAGATACTTAGTTCTGTTCATCTTTAGCCTAGATGTAGGTGCTATAAAACTGACAAAACACATATTGGTAAAGGCACACAAAAATGTGGACCATGGGGTAGGAGATTCTTTAGTTAAGATGGCCTCTTTTAAAGGCTTTCCACAATGAAACTGGCACTATTTAGATTTTTGTCTGAAATCAGTGAAGATGTTCATGGTGGGGGCACAGTGTTGAAAGTGTTTGTACTGGTTTGTTCATTGGAAATGGAGGGAATCAGTTTTCATATCGCATTTGGGTTCTCTGTGGATTCCCTGCAGAAGAATTTCCTTTCCAATGTTTGTGGAGTGAATGGATGCGTGCAGGCCTTGGAAAGCAAATGTTGCAGTCACTCATGAAAAACCTTAAGTAGAAAGATCACTTTGCTGTTGTATAACTCCCCTATCCCCGCATAATGTTTCATAAAATCGAATAAGATTTTTTTTGCTTGATCTACAGTTTGGAATAATTAGCAGTATTGCTTTTGTTTTTAGTGTGGATAATTAAAAACTGATGACATTGTATATATGTGTGTGTGTTTTGTAGGCATAGGGAATGATTAATTAGGAAGATATTGCAGATATTTTGCACTAGACATTTTAGCTGAGAGAAATTGTACCTAGTAGGAAATTAGTTGATGATCATTGAAATTTGGTTTGTGAGCAGAGTTGGAAATAAGTGAGCCCCGTTATTACGTTTAAACCTGATCAATCTGTGGTGCCACACAGGTTATGAAAGAATGAGGAAGAAACCTCCTAAGGGTCTTCTTGAACTTGGAAGATAAATAGGGTTTGCCTGAGTAGAATCTTTTTAAAAGGGTGCTTAAAATATTAAAAATTAGAGTGGAGAAAAAGAAAAACAAAAAAATGAATTATTGATATTTGTGTAATTTTTTTATTCAACTTTAATTAAACATTTTCAGATTACATCTCTTTTATTTGCAAAACAGATTGCTAATATATTTTGATTCAGGTCTAATATGATTTCATTACTTCTGAGTTATTTCAGTATGGGATATTGTAGTAAATCCTGATTTTTCATGCTGATAGCACTTGCCTTTCCCTCTAGGTCCCTTTATATTTGCTTTGCTGAAAACATGCCTCACTGAGAATTGAGTAGTCTGTAATAAACCTTCCCTCAGGAATAGGACACATATTAGAAAAAAGATTCATTTGAGTTTATCCAAATCATCCATAATGAACCACCACCCCCCTCCGCCACAAACAATGGAATAGAAAGGGGATTCTGGGTTTTTTTCACGCTTAGATTGTATTTAGGGGTGAACAGACTAGATGCTTTAATAAAGTTTAGGCATGTGTCCAGTTATTTCATGGAAGTCTAGATGAAAACAGAGGCAGCTAAGGATAAGGGAGATAGAATTAAAACTAAGTACCAGAGTATGATACTGTAGTCCCTTGCATTGTCACATAACCTGAAGATTCTGTACCACAGACACTGAACTTGTTTTGTGCATGTACAAACACATTTCAAATTTCTATTCTATAGCATTTAGTGGGTCACTGCGGGTGTGAGTCATCCTCTTTTTCTCCTGGGTAAATAATTGAATCTCTGGTAACTTGAACTACTCTAAAATTACCTGTTGTTGTGTGCTGTCGAGTTAATTCTGACTCATAGTGACCCTATCGGACAGAGTAGAACTTCCCCAGAGGATTTTCTAAGCTGTAATCTTTATAGAAAGGAGCCCTGGTTGCGCAAGTGGTTAAACGCTCGACTACTAACCGAAAGATCAGCGGTTCGAACTTACCAGTTGCTCTGCCAGAAAAGGTGGCAGTCTGCTTCTCTATAGATTACAGCACTGGAAACCCAAAGAGGCAGTTCACCTCTGTCCTAGAGGGTTTCTATGAGTCACAAGCGACTTGATGGCAGTGGGTAATTTTTATGGGAGCAGATCGCCAGGTCTGTACTACCAGGGCTCCTTAAACTTACCTAGATGTTATTTAAAGAAAACCTCTGGCTAGAAATGTGTGCATTTAAAGTCATTCAGTGAGTGTAAATTGTATACCTTTTCTAAAGGACAGTCTGTTAGTAGTTATCAAAAATTTAAGTGTGCATCGTTTTTGAGCCAGTAATTCCATCTCTCTCTGATAATTTGCCTCAAGGGAATAATCATCCAAATGTGCAAAAATGATGGCAGAAAGATGGTCACTATAGAACTGTTTATAGTATAAAAAACATTGCAAACAGCCTAAACGTCCACACCTAGGACACTGGCTGAAGAAACAGTGTATATTCATGCAACAGAATAGAATTCTTCCTTTATAAGGATGAGGGAGACCTATGTGTATTTATGTGGAAAATGTACATGATTATATATTAAAATGGGGAGGGGAGGAGAAGGGCAGGTTACTGTGTAGTGTGTATATATTTCCCATTTATGTAAAAATACCTTTCTCTGTATAAAGGCATTACCAAGTCTGGAAGGACTTACTCCACAATTTGAGCAGTAGTTATATCTGGAGTTGAGATTATGGAGAAAACTTTTACTTTTGCCCACTTCTGTTGTGTTTGAATTTTTAAAAAGATATGCATTCTTTTAAGCATATTTATTTTAAAGCCCCTTTCAGATTGCCCTCTTAACTTTAGTAGCTCAGCCATGACTTTTCCTGCCTGTTGGGTCAGTATCTGGCCTTCTAGGGTGCTGAATTTCCTCACATGTCTTCTGACTCTTGCTGGCAAGCTTATTTGACAAGAGAGTGAGCTATCTTCGGGAAGTTTTGCCTGTGTGGGCCTTGGTTTGTGGAGGCCACTTCATGAGCTGCTTTGCTGTTTGTCCCTACCTGAACTCTTTGGGATGCAATCTCTCTGAACCAAGGCTTCCGTTAATGATTCAATTTGAGGTTCCCATCTCTTCAGCTTCTGACTGATCATACAAATGAATCTCCCATGTATGCTTTCCCGTTTGCAGGCTTTACACAGGGTACCTGGTTTCCAGTCCCCTGTCATGCCTGTGGGCTCTGCCACTTTGAGTCCTGGCCTTGTTGGGCTTTGAAAGCAATCCCCTCAGTATGTTACCTCTTCCAGATCCCCAAAAGGCCTAGTGAGCTTTACTCCTCCTCCTCACTGTGGTGGTTTTCCCTCCATTCTGACACCTAGAGTTTTCTCTCCCTTGATTTATAACTTGGCCTTACATAAATTTGAGAATACGTATTTTAAAACATAATTTCCATAGCCTGAGAATGGAGTGTAGTACGTGCTTAATCTACTATTTTGACCTTGAGATATAATTTTAAAACATAGCATATTTGCATTTTGGGAAAAAAACAAAAACAAAGTCTTCCTTGCTTCTATAGCTTAGAAAGTGATTTTGGACCCTTGCGCCAATTCCTCCATAGACTCGGGACCCTAATTCCAGGAGGTTGTTTGTGCCACAAGTTTCCTACAGCTGTTATAGACCAAAGAGAAATTGAGAAGAATCAAGCTTACTTGAGCCTTATCATTGGGCAGCATTCAGTCCCATCGGGGGAAAATAATGAATCTAGTTGAAATAGGGATCTGCAAAAGATATTTACCAAAATAAGTCCTAAGTGCCTGCAAGTACTTGGGGATCCAGAGAGAGAATGCC